TATGTATTTTTATATAATTCCTTTAAAAAAAATTTTATGTAGACCAATAAATTTCTTATAGTATCTACAAAAATAAATGTAACACTGTTGCGGTTGTAATGAGCAACCAACTTCAAACTTATACCAAGATTTTATTTAAGAAATTAATGTCTCAGTCTTGACGTGAAGAAACTTTGCGACTTGAACAGTGCAATGATTTTCAATATTTGGTTTGCAATTTTGTCTTTAGATATGCCTTTTTCGACATCTCTTTGACATTGATCTGAGTAGCTGTTGATCTGTTGTTGTGAGATGGCTACTTACTGTTCTCGGGGTGCAAGAGTCATTCCCAGTGGTCCAGTGATGATGCAGGCTTACCCACTGCAGTCAGTTCTGGTCAGTAAGAAGAGGATCTCTGCAGGGTCTTTGAGCCCAGAGATCAGAGTCATCCAGCCGTTTCCGGACCTTTTGAACTGAAATGCAACAACCTGCTGGCATTGATTGGTTTATGGACGACACAGATGCAGATTGATTCCTGAGGTGGTGGAGCCACATGAAGTGGTCTTCAGCAGGTTTTGTGACTCTGGGTCTTCCAGTTTGTAGCTGAGCCAGTTTCTTGAAATCACCTCCAAAGGTTACATTACCTTGTCATGCCACTACACTTTATTATGACTGGCTAGTCTGTAAATGACAAGTGAGGTTGAGTCATTGTTCTGTAATGAGTGGAGCCATACTTGCACATTTTTCAACTGAATTAATTTGAGAAGCCTAACTCTTTGATGAGGTACAAGGCGGAAGAGAAGAAGAACGAGAAGACTCTTTGATAGGCATTCAATAACATGATCAGTGAGTTCTGTTTTCACCAAATTTCATGCGATTTTTCTAAACCCATCAGGAGTTATTGTCAAATGTTTTGTTTTGACTATTGGTGCTTTTCCCATGCTTATGATTATCAGGTAAGTAAAATTTAGCTCCACTCCTATAGTTGATGAGATGAATATTTCAGTCTGTTTTCCTTGTCCTAGCCGCAAGCTTCATTTTTATTTTCAACATCTCATATATTAGTTTTCCTTTTGTGGACATGATACAGTTTATTAGTATTTGTGTAAAATGTTTTTAAACGTTATTTTTGTGTGGGGATGAGGGGGGCGCAGGGGAAGTCCCACTTGTTCGTGATCCATTTTTTGTAACTTTCCTGGGGCGAAAGGGTTAATGACAGATTTCTTGCGCACATGATTGATTAATTGGTTTGTTAACTTATTTCCCCGTGTGGGTCTCCGGGGCCCTATTATAGGGAAAACAAGAATAGACCCACTGCCTTCCCAAAAGCACGTCAGAAAAGATCAACTAATTAGGAGCTTCCTTTGAAGTTGGAGTGCATCTGCCTGAGAGGCAAGGAACCAGCAGTCTGCATACAGATGAGTCAGATCTGTAAAACGGATGCACACGCAACACTCAGGTTCTGGAGCAGGACTGCAGTCCAAAAGTGGATGAACAACCAGAACTTGCGAAGAAGTTTACTTATTAAATGCTTAATTAGTCAGAGTGTCTGTTGGTTCACTGTTCTGGTGTGATTTACTAATTTATTTAATATATTTATTGATTATTTTATTGTTTTAGTTTGTCTATTGACTGATGTTTGCTCAGGTTGGTATTGTTGGAAGAACAGGTGCTGGCAAAAGCTCTCTCATCACTGCACTGTTCCGCATGGTTGAACCCCGCGGCAGCCTCCTGATCGATGGCATCAACATTCAGGAGATTGGCCTTCATGATCTCAGAAGCACTATCTCTATAATACCCCAGGTATGCTTGTGCTATAAGAGGCAATCTTTATAAGCACTATCTCTATAATACCCCAGGTATGTTGTGCTATAAGAGGCAATCTTTATAAGCACTATCTCTATAATACCCCAGGTATGCTGTGCTATAAAAGGCAATCTTTATAAGCACTATCTCTATAATACCCCAGGTATGTTGTGCTATAAAAGGTTTTTTTTTCTAAAATAATTCACCTATCTCTATAATACCCCAGGTATATTGCGCTATAAAGGGCAATCTTTAGAAGCACTATCTCTATAATACCCAGGTATGCTGTGCTATAAAGGGCAATCTTTAGAAGCACTATCTCTATAATACCCCAGGTATTCTGTACTATAAAAGGCAATCTTTATAATACCATATGGATGCTGCTTGTTTTTTTTTTTTTTTTTTTAATTTGACAACATCTGCTGTACCACAACTATGTTGTGCTAGATAAAATATTTCTTGCATTTGAAAGCACTTTATTGTCAGCCACTAAACTGTAACTGAATTGTAGCACTTCTTTCAATGTAAATGTAGGCAACTGATCACAGTGATGAATGCATTGTTTGGTTGATGGATGATTTGGTTCATTGATTGGTTGTGATTTGTCTGAAAAGCTGGCTGGCATTTTCAACTCTTGAAGTCTGATGCATTGTTGCTCATTTTCTCTTGGCCTTGAAGAATACTTCTTTTTCTGTGTTCATCCAAAGATGTAAATGTGTTGTGTCCGTTTACAACATGGTTGTGATATTTGCACCTTTCGGTCGACACATCCAGCATCTGCAGGCATTTATTGTGGGGTTAGCCTTCCTGGTGAAAAAGAATTGCTTCCATTGAAGTCAAGTTAGTGTAGAGACTTTTCTCCCTGGCTTGGACAGAGGTGTCTTCTCCATGAGGATTGTGCTACAGAACTTTCTGTTCAATATCCAGGCCCACAAACTAGAGGTGATGTGCAAGACCAGAACATCACATTATTTGAATTACCCACATCTTTATTCAGCACTGGCAGCTGAAGGTGAGGATGGAGCATGCATGGGAATGCCCTGAGTGCTGTGATGTCAATTCTTGACAGCTAAACTCAACTTATTCAGCACATCACATTTTGACGGACCTGGAATAGGATCCACTGTCTTCTCCAAAGCAATGCTACATTGCTCAGTACAGTGGAAGTGGAGAAGATTTAAGCATGGAAAGACCTAAATACAGAACTTATCTGAATGGACAAACCTCAAACATACATGCAAACATCAAGTCCATTGTCTCTGACCGACAGAGGTGGAGGAAACTGATCAGACAGTCAACAACAACCGGTGACTCAGTGACACACTATGGGACTGCAGTGTTGGTGACATATTGACTGCCTACTTTTACATCTAGATGTGATGCTTCCTCTATAGGTTGTATTATTTCACTGTCATTAGAATGCAGCCATAGAGGATTTAGCCACATACCTAGAGGATTTAGCCACATACCTAGAGGATTTAGCCACATACCTAAAGGATTTAGCTTATGTGTATGTGTGCTATGTTTTTTTTGTGTTTTTTTTTTTTATTAAGCATTGATGGTTTTACAGAAGAATGCTTAGAATACCTTGGACAGCCAAAAAGAGCAACCAAGAGATTTTGAAAGAGGCGGGAAGGAGACAGTCATCATTTTTCGGCCATGTTATGAGAAAAGGGAAAATAGAACATGTTGTGACCACTGGAAAGATCTGTGGAAAAAGGGATAGAGGAAGACAACGAGAGAAGATGCTTGACAGTCTTGTTGCATGGCATGGAGGTGTGTCGGCACCCAAACTGATACATGCTGCAGGAGATCGCAGATTATGGAGAGGCATGATCGCCCATGCCAGTCGGCAAGGCACCTGATGATTATGATGATTGATGGAAAAGATCTACAAATGATAAAGAACATATACTGGCAGCAAACAGCAGTTATAAGAATTAATAACCATTTGGGAACATTTCAGAGCATAAAGAGGGGAGTACGACAAGGTTGTATACTATCACCTGATTTGTTTTGAAAATACATTGAATATATATCTGTCACCTATATACCAGGAACTGTGTTTGGTGATCATAACAAAAACAGCTTACCTTATGCTGATGACACCGTCTTGATAGTGATAGGTCAGAAATAATTACAGGGATTGATAGATACAAAGGTGGTAGAAAATGATAAAATGAGCCTTAGTTTGAATACAAGAAAGACAAAAGTAATGGTAATATGAAAGAAAATTATACTGCCTAAATGTTTCATAAGTCAAAGGTGTTTTTAGAACAAGTATGGAAATTTAAGTATCTAGGCACTGGATAATATCTGACGGAAGATCTATCACATAGATAAAGATAAGAACAGGTCATGCCATGACTGTATTTTATAAAATGAAGAACATTTTATGCTAAAAATCAGTGTCATTGGAGATAAGGAAAAGAATTCTCACATACTATATAGAACCAGTTTTAATATATAGCTGTGAATCATGGACAATTAATAAATGAGCCAAACAATTTCTTGAGACCTCTGAGATGTAATTTTACTGAAGAATACTTAGAATTCCGTGGACTGCCAAAAATAGCAACCCAGATTTTTTAAAAGAGGTAAGGGCTCGAAGAGAACTCATGAGAGCTAATAGACTGAAATGGTTGGGGCATGTTGAAAGAATGTCAGATGACAGAGAAGTAAAAACTGTATACAAGAGGGAGATGAAGAAGATGATGGAGAGATAATATCCAGACAGACCTGCAAACACTTTGTTTCACCAACTGGAAAAAGAAGGCCAGCCAGAGAGATGAATGGAGGTGGGTGATATCTGCAGCAATGAACCTCAAAGGCTCGGAATGCTTAAGAAGAAGAAGAAGAAGAAGACAACCTATCACAAACATCAGAAAGAGGCTCATCTTTTTTGGGTTATGTTATGAGAAGAGGAATATTGGAACATATTGTGGCTGCTTGTAAAGATCAATGGAAAGAGAGACAGAGGAAGACATCACAAGAAGATTCTTAACAGCCTTTTGTCGTGGCATGGATGGGTGTCAACACATGAACTGATTCATACAGTTGTAGATCACAGATTGAGGAAAGACATCATTGCCCACACCAGTAAGCAAGGCACTTAATGATATGTGTCTGTTTATCTGTTTTGCTTAACCTCTTCCATGACAGTGTACATCATAATCAGTATAAGCATAAAAACTGACACAGTTTTCCATTTCCAGGACCCGGTGTTATTTACTGGAACATTGAGGAAGAACCTTGATCCCTTCCAACAGTATGGTGATGAGCAGTTATGGAAGGCTTTGGAAGAGGTAACCAATTTTAATTATTTCAAACTGTGTTTTATTTCTCTGGACCATTGTAGATCCTCTTCCGATGATCCATGTCATGCGGTGTTGGTTTTCTTGTCTGTCCACATCCTTCTCTAGGGTGAATGTTGAATTTTAAATCCAGAATCAACATCATAGCACTCGGGACACTCCGATAAGTGCTCCGTCACCGTCTTCAACAGCAAGTTAAGAGTTTCAATTCTGATTGTACCAGTAACTGTCTGATTGTACCAGTAACTGTCTGATTGTACCAGTAACTGTCTGATTGTACCAGTAACTGTCTGATTGTACCAGTAACTGTCTGATTGTACCAGTAACTGTCTGATTGTACCAGTAACTGTCTGATTGTACCAGTAACTGTCTGATTGTACCAGTAACTGTCTGATTGTACATCCGTCCTGCCTTTCCCTTGAGTGTTAAGCGTTGGCTAGATCCCCTGGTAACTACCCAGCAACGCCACTCGCCTCAGACCTTAATGATCTGTTTGTACCTCCACACTTTTCTCGCATGTAGGTAATGGACCCTTTTCACACTACAGGTGCATAAGGCATATGATGTTGGACTCATATTTGTTTAGACCAATCAGGGCTTGATAGATATGGAGGCAAAACTCAGGTTCACTGGCTGTAAACTCTGGTGGAAAGTTCTAGTTGTTAGTCCACTTCTAGACTTTTGTGTGCATATCCATTTTACAGATCTGGCTTATTTGAATGCAGAGTGTTGGTGCTTCACTTTCAGGCAGATGTACTGTGACTTTGAAGGGAACACTTCTAATTATAACCTTTGATGACATGCTTGTTAGGGAGACCGTGGGTCTGTTCTTTTCCCCAGAAATGAGGCCCTGAAACCCACACAGGGAATCACTTTTTATAACATAAACAGTAGCTGTTTACATCCACTACCCCAGGATTTGTGGCAGTTTATGTTAAGACTTATTTAACATCTTTGGGAACAGCATTACAACTTATTTAGTAGTTAATCAAGGCATGTGGATGGTTATAGTGAACTTTTCACTGGTTTACAAAGTAAACAAAAGTACCTGGCTAAACACAGCAGATTCTAAACTTAAATAAATTTTAAATTCAAACTAATCTAGGCTAGCTCGATCAACTGAAAGGTTCCCCATGTGGTTCCTGGGCCCCATTGTGGGGAAAACAAGAATAGATCCATTGACTTTACAACAAGCATATCGTAGGAGTTGACTAATTGGGGACTTCCTTCGAAGTTGGAGTGCATCTGCCCGAGTGGCAAGGAACAGCCAGTTGCACACAAGTGAGCCAGTAAAACGGATGTACATACAAAACTCAGGTCCTGACTACAAAGCCAAAGTCCAAATGGAGGAACAACCAGCATTTTCTGCTGGAGCTTACAGCTGGTGAACAAACAAAACAATTGAAAGGTAAGAAATGTCATTTACTGTAGTGTTTTGAAAACTGTTGCATATGTTAATCACTTCAGGTCATGCTTGCTTTATTCAAGAGCTACTGATAGAAAGAGGACTGTGGGAATCAAAGATTTCATACAAAATAGGGATAACTCAATGATTAATCCAGAGTGAGATATTACTTTGGAAATTATTGAAAGACCAGTTAAGAAATCATCGAAGGATCATTTTAGAAGTCACTGAGAGTTAGTCAAGTGATGACCAAGAGACTACCAGTGAGTCAGTAAAGAAATAACTTAATAATTAAGATGTCACTAGAGAATTACTTATTCCTCACAGCATCATTCTTCTTTCAGTGTGTTTGTGCCCAAGTAAAGCTAAAGGACTGCATCTAAGACATTTCTGAGGGTCTCAGAGCTGAATTTATTAGATGCGCTCATCTAAAATCCAATTATGTGGCACCATGCATGCATAACTGCATGCATTGGACGCAATTACATTATAGTCATGTGATAAGTACTAACCAATGAATAAGAGCACATGCTCATCATCCCATAGGTTCTGTTTCTGGCTGTTGAGAATATGACTGAGTTGATCCAGAATTCATCCAGAGAAGTTCAGAGAGCTGTTACTTAGTTTCTTCTATTTGTAGGATGTCTTCTTCTTCGCTTTCACTGGCTGTAAACTCCGGCGGAAAGTTCTGGTTGTTTGTCCACTCCTGGACTGCAGACATGTTTCAGAACCCGAGTGTTGTGTGTGCATCAGTTTGACAGATCTAAACTTATTTGTGTGCAGACTGTTAGTTCCTTGCCTTTCAGGCTCCGACTTTAAAGGAACCCCCACCCCCATTTGTCGACTCTTACAACAGGCTTTTTGGGTAGGCAGTGGGTCTATTCTTGTTTTCCCTATAATAGGGCCCCGGACCCACACAGGGATGTAGGATGTTGACCAGTGGACGTTTAGTGAAGAATGCAGGCCGAGTATGGAAACAAATTTGTGTTGTCATCAACAGTGACAAACTGGTCATGAATATTTTGAAAAGGTTGTGAGGTCATGACAGAAAATAAAAACTATTGCGAAAACTGATGCAGCAGTACAGTGAACTGTTGTTGAAGCGAATGTTCATTAGTGAAAAAATGTAATATGTCAGGTGGGACAGCTCAAAAGATTGTTCATAAGAAACTGCAATATTATTGGTGGGTTTGTTCATTGTGGTCACCACGGATATTGACCACCAAAACACTTGACTTGGTTCAGGAGCAATCATAGTCCTTTTCTTGCGGACAGCATTTGCCACCTATCTAAGCTATGGGATGCTTGCCTGAATCCTACAGTGGCTTTTTCTTAGCAACCCATGATACATAATTCATTCAGAACAAATGCTTTGTTTGAGTCTGCTGAACCTGTTGTTTCTTTCATGCTTTTGTAATAAAGCTATCGGAACAGGTTTCATATGAGCACCCCCTTATATATAGTATATATGTATGTTTGTTTCCGTGTCTTCAGGTCAAGCTGAAGGACCACATCAAAGACATTCCCGAGGGCCTCAATGCTGAAGTCTCTGAAGGAGGTGTGAACTTCAGTGTTGGTCAGAGGCAGCTCATCTGCCTGGCTAGAGCTATCCTGGGCAACAACAGAATACTGCTCATTGATGAAGCAACAGCCAATGTGGATCCAATGTGAGTGGCTTCTGTGTGGTGCTGTGGTCCGTTGATTCAAGTGCAAGCAAAGCACACAGTTAGAAAGTTGAACTGAGACCTTTGGGGATGTGGGTGTAACAGAAACATAGGTCATAATATCATAGAAAAGAAAACATTGAATTCAGAGATTTTAAGAGCTTGGAAATAAAATCAGGCTGTTGAAAGAAAAAGAGTCAAGTGAAATATTTTGAACGCATTAAAAGATGTAATGTAACACTCTTATAAAAATCATACTGGAGAGAAAAGCGGAATACAGCAAAAAAGAAAACATACTGGAAAGAACAGCGGGATAAAGCAAGTAAGTCTTAGACAGTGATGCATGTGGGCAGATAACTTTAAGGGCACCAGTCTGATAGAATACAACCAGAACCAGGGATAGATCACTCTGGAGTTCATTACAGCCTGCCTGTACGGAAACATCTCCTCATTGAATGATTGATTGATGAAATGCCGCATTTTCATATTGTAAAACTATTCACTGTAGTTTCAGTGATGACAGGAATGTCATCGAAGCATTGTGGTTAAAAACAAAAAAAATCTATAGCATGACTTTGTTTACAGTATTGAATGATATACATGGTTTATTGGACAGCAGGAAAATTATTAAGTAAATCGAATAAGATATCCAGATTGAAAGGAAATTTACATAGGATATATGGCATGATTGTACTTCCAGATATTGATTTGACCAGTGTATCCAAATCTTTACTATAGTCAGCTTGATCACTTTAATTATTTCATGTTATTTATGCTATAATAATCTGTTTAAATCATCACTGATCACTGGCATCTGAGGGTTAATTGATTGAAATGGCTGTGACATATTGAGAGTAAGTCAGATGACAGAGGTTAAAAACTGTGTACACAGTTGAGTTGACTGACCTGAGACCACAAAGCAGACCAAGACGACAAAAGAGAGATAGTGTCTAGACAGACCTACAAAAACTTTTGGTCACCAACTGAAAAGATAAATTCAACCAGAGAAATGAATGGAGGTGGGTGATATCTGCAGCAGTGAATCTTAAAGGCTCAGTGTGCTGAAAAAAGAAGTAGAATTTAAACTTTATACCCATTAGGCTTGATTCATATTATGCCTTGTCTGCCTATGATCGTTGATCGGTTGTTGCAACATATGATCTATGAAATGTCTGTGTGAAAACTTGAACTCTGAAAATCATGAATTGTTAGGACATTAGTGACTTTAATCAAAGGACATTTACTATGGTCTTCAGCATTCAATGTTTTTTTTTAAATATCTAGTTACTTCTTATAGTCCATGCATTGTGGTGTTGTTAGTCATGTCTATCAGCAGCTTTTTGTCTCATGTACTTTTGATCAACTCTGACACAGATGATCTTCCATGCCATGCCGTGTCCAGCATCCTCGCTCTCGGGCTGCCTCTGCCACTTTTCTGCTACAACTTTCCCACTGTCATGATATACTCTAGTTTTCTCCCTCTCATAACTTCCAAGAGTATAGACTGCCTTCTTCTAATGTGTGCAGTCAGTTCTCGTATGAGTTAGCTACTTTCAAGGCATCTTCATTTCAAAACATCTCTTTTTGTCTGTCTGACCAGAGTGTTCTGTCATTCATCTATAAAATCAAGTCTCTGCTATTTCCCCATATATTTTTTTACTAACTGGCCAACTGTCTATGATTCACTAGTTACTATACAATTTTAAAGGATGTTTAAAGAGGACAGGATTGACTTCATTGCACTGGATTTTACTCAACAGGGCTTAGTATCTCCACTGAGCAGCTGTTTGCCCTCTCTTTGCCACACCAACATCAGCTCTTAAGGATGTTGATAACACCTGCACTCATAAAAAAAAAAAAAAGGCAGTCAGATAGCAACCCTACAGTTATTAACTCTTTCCTTACTTGAGGCTCTGCACCACTTGGTGGTGAATTGATGTATGACAAGTTAGATATTGTGAAGGCCTTTGGGAACAAGTGAACAGTGTGTAGGCGCAGATAGATCATTATGGTCTGAGGAGAATGGCGCTGCGAGTCGTGACCAGGGGATCTGGCCGACGCTCAACACTCAGGGGAAGGATGAGACCGATATACAATCACTGGTACCATCGGAATTGGAACTCTTCGCTTGCTGCTGAAGATGGGAACTGGGCATTTATTAGAGTGTCCCAAGTGCTGTTATGTCCATTCTTAATTCAACATTCAGTATTCACTTGAGAACAGTTAAATCAGTTGTATATTGTTTTCCAGACAGCTTAACAGCAGACTGCTAAACTATAAACTACATTTGTTCCATGATTGTTTCAGCACTGATGAGCTTATTCAGCAGACAATCCGAACAAAATTTAAGGATTGTACAGTACTCACCATTGCTCACCGACTGCACACAATCATGGATTCTGATAGAGTTATGGTACGTTGTTTTTACAGGTATTGTTATGATGATAGTGTTCCATTGTGTTATCAAGACATGAGAATCATTGCCTATGGCAGTGTTTCCCAAACTTTTCTTAGTCGCGGCGCTTTTTTTCAATAAAAAAATTGTCCACGGCGGCCTAACCTAAGTAAACATGGCACCCTAACCTAAGTAAACACGGCACCCTAACCTAAGTAAACACGGCACCCTAACCTAAGTAAACACGGCACCCTAACCTAAGTAAACATGGCACCCTAACCTAAGTAAACATGGCACCCTAACCTAAGTAAACATGACACCCTAACCTAAGTAAAGTAGGACTTTTTCGTATGTAAGAAATAAAAAAAAATTTTTTTTAATCATATAACTTTGAATATTTTGCGGTGCCGCTGTGAAGAGTTCGCGGCACACAGTTTAGGAATCACTGGCCTATGGGGATACCAGTAAGGCCAGAGATTAAAATTATAGCACATAATCTGGGCAGTATAGTAGAAACCATGGGTTGCTCATGCATCATGATCCCTCCCTCTGCCTGCTTTGTAAACTCTAAAGGAAAGGTAATATACCACTAAATGCATTGGGAACAAAGGATTTAGCAGAATTTGCTGCATTAGAAGGCCAGTGCTCTGTATGTCTGCCTTTTAGAGCTCCTCACCTAGACCAGCTACTAACAACTCTAACAGCCTGGTCTGCCCTTCTTCATCTTCTTTTCCTTCTGCATTTTATAGTGGAGCATAGGCCCTCAACCAGCTCATGCCGGGTCATCCTGTCCTGTGCTATCATATGTCCTCCCCACCTTTTTAACTTCACTGTCTAGATCGTGCTCATTTTTATTTTTCTGCTTTTATTTCTAGGCCTCTGTGGGGTTCAGTGTAAAGCCCTTCTAGTTAAACTATTTTCAGATTTTCTCACCCACCTATCCACAGCCAGCGTCTGGTCTACCCTGCCCTAAAATCGAGGTTTCTTCTTCTTCTTCTGCGTTTGTCCTTAAAAGTATGGTTGGCATTTTGTATTGTTGTTTACAGCTAGGCTGTGATACCTACACCTTTCAGCCCAACACATCAGATTTCAGCAAATCCAAATTCTTAATTAGGCGCCTTTTACACATGCTTGTTGAAGAACATTAGGTTTATTTTTCCCCCAAAAAAGGAATCTGGAATCCTCACAGGGATATCACTTGTTTGATACTGTTATATGCGATCCGGGGGGATGGATTGCATATCTGTCAAAGTGTCTAGGGTGGATGATCATGCTTCGCCCATACATACAAAAAGTTCTCTAATCGACAATGTTACCAACACTAGAATCACAAGGTCAACTCCAATACATTACAAGTTATCTCTGTAATAGTGCATCGGTCTCTTTCTTATGGACGAAACAAGTTACGACGAAAATGGGTGGTGATTAATGGCACATTGTCATTTATTCTACTGCCTTCCCAAATATTCATATCGGCAGTCACTTCAGACATGGACAAAACACTTCAGTGAACTATGTCCCAGGTGCCTGCTACGGGCACCTCACATCCGACTGTGCAGATACACCTGTGTAATGTACAGTGACCACCTCCTGAGAGTCTAAGAGCTTAAAGTAGATGCACCATACGGTAAAAAATTGAGCTAAAAAGAAATCCAGACCGCAGTCTGGATTCTATTCACTTACTCCTGGTTTCTATCCCAGACATCTCTCCATCACAACTACACATTTGTTAACACACAAGGTCCCCCAAAACCTTCCGTGCCCTTACAGAAACAAGCAAACCATGTATCCCATAGCCGCAGCACTGTCGAGCCCACAACACACAGCCGACACAAGTCCATTCTACACATTTAAAAAAGTTAGTTGCATATCCTTTACAAAACATTGCAGAACCAACCACATAATTTTTTTGGCTGTTGTGGTTTTTCTAAGCAAATTTACGTCCAGTAGTTTGCTATTGCTTTCTGGACGGTCGGCTTCTTGATACCACTGTCAAAACCAGCGCAAGGCCCGCAGCTGGGATTGAACCTGGCACCCCGGCATTACGAAGCTCATTCGCAACGCCTTAGCCACAAACCCTGATATTACTGACAGAATTCCTAAAAGTCCAACTCACGATCCACCAAACCAGTATACAATTCGCATGAGCTCCAACAGAATAATGAAATACCTTGTTAAAACACACCGAACTGGAACAACTCATGCACGAACACGTCCAGATACTCACCTCCTGATCCTTCATCCTACAGGTTTTGGACAATGGGCAGATTGTGGAGTTTGATCAGCCATATATCCTCCTGTCCCAAGGTCATGGTTACTTCTTTGACATGGTTCAGCAGACGGGCAAGGCAGAGTTTGACCATCTGCTGGAAATGGCTCAAGAGGCAGCCAAGAGAAGGTGAGATTTGTGATTATTTTATTTTTCTTAATGAGTGCTTAATGTTTTTGTTTGATGTCTTTGAGTAGTAGTGCACAATGTCTTGTGTGTGTTTGAAGTTACATTATTGTCATGTTTTATGTGTGGTGTATGATTGAGCTATCTTTAACGGAAGATAATTACATCAGGATTCATTAATTTTGCATAAGGGTGTTGCGTTTCTTTTTCCTAGAAAAATAGTTCGGCGGCCCAGTTTTGGGAATAACAACAACAAGAAAGTAATTACGCACTGCACCCCCAACTTGCATGTCATAAAAGACAGCTAAATAGGCTGTTTGCTGAAATCAGAGGTGTTGAACTGAAAGGCACAGAGACATTACAGCCCTGCTAGAAACTACAGCAACAACAACAACAAACATGGCAACTTTCCTTTTAAGGGTGAATGAAAAAGTAGGTAAAAGTAGGATCGACTTCATTGCATCAGGTTTTATCCCTTATGGCTCACTCTCTCCGTAGAACAGCTAGCTGCCTGCCAAGGGGGTCACACAAAGCACGACCTCCGTAGCTCGTGTTACAATCCCGAGGAATGTCCGTAAAAATTGTACTCGTGTACTGAGCGATACCGCCGAGAAACAAACCCATGACCTTCAGAGCACGAGGCAAACGGCTTGACCACTTCACCACAGAGATCCCAAGAAAAAGAGAACAGAAAATATGTCGGGAAATCTGCAGTCAGTCAGTCATCTGCCCCAGTCTCACTGTTCGGAATGATGGCCACACTGTGCAGTTTATAAATTAGACTGAAACTCAGATGTGGCTTAGGGGTTGTGAAACAAGTTACACAGTTCCTGCATAACAAGGTTCATATTCAGCTGCAGGCAGTTTGGTAGCAGACCACATTGCATTAATTTTGACAACATTAAGAGTGTCCTATTGTTCAGAAGCAGTGGCAAACTACTGAAGGTAAAACTGCTTAGTGAAACCACACAACAGAAAGGCTAGATTGTTTGTGATGCCCTGAAGAGGATGTGCGACTAGTCTTTTTTAAAACAGATAGAGCAAAAGATTCTGCTTTTTTTTTCTTTCTTTTTTTTTTTTTTTAAACCAATGCAGCCGACAGTGGAAATGTCCTGGTAGCACAGAATAGTGATCACATTCTATTTCTATATATGATGCTCGTCACAAAGGAATATGTTCTCAGCTACACTTAATGAAGTGATGTTGTGTGGAAGTCAAACAGTTTTATTCTGTCTAAGCTAAACCTGATTTAAATGATTTTGTATATGAAAGCCAAACAGTTACCTTTGATCAGATGAGCAAAATGGATTTTTATCATTGAGGATTGGGGTGTTTAGTGGTCAAATCTCCTTAGAATTTCAGTGAGCATATGGCAACTGATTGCCCCAGTGTAGCCGTGGTTCACCAGTTTTTTGTTGTTGTTGCTGCATACAGATTCAAGTCTCCCGCCTCCCGGTTGATCCCAGTGTCTTTGATCCTGAGCAGGGTCATTTTGTACTTCCGTTAAAAAATTAGGGTGGTAATGATTTAATCCTGTCACCCGAGAAAGCTATTTGTCCGGCATTGAAGGATTTTTTATGACATGAAGACTTTGGACAGTGGCGATTGCACCTGTATAACCATTTTAGTACTGGCTGCAATTGCATATGTGCAGACGTGGTGGATACAATAATAAATATATGTGGTCATAATATAAATAATCTACTCTATGCTGATGACACCATCTTGATAGCTACAGTTAGAAAGAAGGTACAGGAAATGATAGAAACAGTGGTGGTAGAAAGTGAATGAATAAGAAGAAGGCAAAAGTAGTGGTAATATCAAAGAAAAGAATTGTGCTTAAATGTGAAATAAAAGTGAATGGTATTACTTTTTAACAAATACAGAAGTGTAAATATCTAGGCACATGAAAAACATCAGATGGAAGGATGTATCACAAAGATAAAGAATAAAATAGGACAGGCAAAACAATTAAGAACATCTTATGCAATAAATTATGGGAGGTTAGAAAAAGAATTCCTGCATGCTGCATAGAGCCAGTTTTAACATGTGGCTGTGAATCTTAAACAAATAATAAACAAGCCAAACATTTGAGGCTGCACAGATGTGTTTCACACAAGAGTGCTTAAAATACGTAAGACAGCCAAACACAAGAAAGGGAGTAACCCAAATATTTTGAAAGAGGTGAAGACCTGAAGACAACTTATCATGAAGATCACAAGGAGTCAGTCATCGTTTTTTTGGCCATGTTAGGAGATGAGGAAAACTAGAACATGTTGTGACCAGTGGAAAGACAATCAGAGAAAGACAACCTGAGAAGAGCCTTTTGTCATGGCATGGTGGATATTAGCACATGAACTGATTCCTGCTGTTGGAGATTGCAGGTTGTGGAGAGGCATGATCACCCATGCCAGTTAACAAGGCACTTGATGATAATGATGAATGCTTCAGTCAAAAAAATGTATAATAATAACACCATGGGATAGGAAGAAATAAACAAACAGGTGACACACTGAGTCCATAAAATAATTGTATTTGATAGAAAGAGTCTGTAAAGTGTACTGTCTTTGGACAAACAATGGTGTGTGGTGCTTACAGAAAGTGTTCAAATGTCCGAGTAATT